TATGATTCTACTGGCCCCCTCCCATCCTCTGGGAGCGCTGGCACTGGGCCCACAGCACTGTTTCGGGGCTTGTTCCCCTTGCAGGATCCCCAGTGCCCAGCCCTGCCACGCAGCTCTGGGACTGCACCCTGCTGGGGTCCTGTCCCCCTTCCCAGCCCCGCGGTGCGGCTGGGCACCGTGTCCCCAGCTCCAGTTGCATGAGCCACAGGGACCCTGCGGTGAGCCACAAAATGTAGCAGGAAACTAAGCGGCCCTTGAGCAGCAACCGACCAACCAAAACATCCTTGTGCATGTATCGGCCTTCGTTTGAGGAAAACAGGAGAAATTGCAAAAGTAGCCACAGCAGGCAGCGAGTTTTAAATGTTGGGGAATTGCTGACAACATTCCTTCGCGAGTCAGCATCAGCAGCTGGGGAAATGGGTAATTCCTACCCCGGGGGGCTGAGCTCTTAGGCTCTGCGGAGGTCTAACAAGGCAAGGGCAAAGAGACGTAAAGGAAATAAAAAATATGCCAGTGGGGCACCCGTTGTGGAATGGATTTTTAACCAGGTTTCAAGTTACTAATTTCTGGTCACACACACAGAGCTCCTCCTGGACTGTTAACGACGGTCAAGCGAATTCTTCTATTCCCTCTCAAATTCCAACTTAATTTTTTCATGCTTTACAGCACAGGTGCAACAGATTTATCCTGTTATTTTTAATCCATTTGGAAAATAAACATAACACTTCCCACATGTAATTTAAATTGAGTAATATTTTGATGTGCTATCTGTCTGGATAACATTTAACTGTATAAAAGGTAGTATCAGTTTTCTTTAAATTAAGCAAAAACATGCAGATGCTCCTTGGAGATGTACGTGTAGGCTAGCAGCTACATAGTGGTGAGTGGTAAGAATTGGGAAAAAATATTTGAGGAAAACTATACTTATCCTTAGAAAACTGTATAAAATTAATCTCTCTGGTCTGTGAAGAGCTTCACCCAAAATAACCATCCCAACAATGGAATTACTTTTAAGAAGGCCTGAGTTCTGGAGAAGTTGTGCTAGTAACGGCATGTGACTTGCAGAGGTCAGAAGAAATATGGCATGAAAGCTAATGGCATTCTGGTCCTCCAGAACAGTCAGGTTCAGATATGGAATCTGATAGATAAAGTTTAGAAATTATTCTTTCCATTTGGCCATTCTAGCCAGAGGGAGAGTACCCTAAGAGTGCCATTGCAGATGGTAGATTTTTAAGGAACCGAGAACTTTCTCAAATCGTATCTGAGGGAAGTGCATACACCACGTGCTCTGCAGCCATCTTCATCTGGATGGTTCCAGAGCACCTGAAATGAAAGCATTTCCTAAGTACTTTTTTCATTTAATTACCTTTTGAGGAGCTCAGCACTGACTTAAGGCATTGACACTACTTGGTCACTTGGAATTACCCTCCAAGGCTGCAGAACAAACCATTCCTCCTCATGAAAATTCACTGCACATTTGCTGAGTTTCATATCTGAGAAGCATCAAAGAATTTTTCAAATTTTTGCAAACATGCATTAACTGGACTTCACAGGTGAATTTCAGGGACTGCTTCCTTGCCCTAAGCCAAAGGAATCACCACATAGCCTGGTAGTTCAGCCAGTAGTTTGGCTCCAGCCTTTGCCATTTCAAAGCCTTGTGTTCGTTGTTCCTGTCAGACGTTCCCAGAGTTAGGCGTCAGGATCGATAACAGGGGAAAAAAAACAACCTGCACAGTGGAGGCATGAAATTGCAGCACCAATTAGTGGTGACTAATACACGTCAGTGGAAGAACTGCAGCGCAAAGAGGGGATGCTCGAGCGGGCGCACAACGAAAGCAGATCAGTCCCTCTTACCTGTAGAAGTGGGGTAGCCACGCGGGCGCGCTCCTGCAGCCTGCCTGCTAAACATTAAGGAGCCTGGAACTACACAAGAGGAGTTACCTCATGCCTGTTATCATTTGGGAGAACTGACATTGTTTTTACAGGACTGAAATCTAATCACATCTTTTCTCTTTTCCATTTTAGAATACAGCTAATGCAGTATGTAATTTATGGCATTGCATCGTTTTTCTTCTTATATGGAATAATCCTTTTGGCAGAAGGTTTTTATACGACAAGTGCCGTGAAGGAGCTGCATGGAGAGTTCAAAACGACAGCCTGCGGCCGCTGCATCAGTGGAATGGTGAGTAGCATTAGAAATGGGAAGAGTCGCCTTCGCTCACCAAAACCTGTTGGTTTGACTCCTGCGTTTTGAACCCCACCATACGTTGCCGCCTTCTTTGTTTAACTCCTTATGGGGGTTCAGAGTCAAGTCAACCCCCGCTGTTAGTCTTCCTTTGTGCGGCGAGGGTGTTCGGTCAACTCCAAACGGAGCAGATGGGCTGGCAGGGTGTGCTGCCGCAGCCTCCCCTGCCACGCGGCTGAATGCGCTGGTCTGAGCCCAGCTGCTAGTTTTAAAACGCTTCACGTGGGATGCAATTTGTGCTTTTGAACACGGAGCACGCTGGTGATGCCTAAAGGCAGGCTGTGAAAGGCTGTGGTTTGCAGAGCTATTTAAATAAAAACCCCTGTCATGCCTCTGACTTCCATACTCGGTTCTGCTCCGGGGTGCCTGGGTCCTTCAGAGAGTAACGCGTGAAGCTTCGCGACGTCTCTGCACTCGAATCGGGCGTTGCCGTCCTGCTTTTGCAGATGGCAAAACACACTCACAGGTAAGAGTCCCTTGCGCAGAGCTGAAACACTGAAAGCCTCCAAGTTAGAAGCCATCTTCCCGTCAGTGTACTGCTGTCTTAGAACGAAATTTCTAACAGAGTTTAACTAAAAATAAACCTTGGGAGTCTCACCCACGTTGCCCCCCCAGGGCGCGCTCTGCAAGAACAGGAACGTAACTGTGTTTGTGAGATGGGATTTCAAAGCTGTTTCTGAAATTCTGAATGCAAAGCTCGTGGCCGCGGAGGAAGCTAAGCGGTATGACAGATCGCCCACGGGAAAGTGTGGGTGAAAAGAGAAGAGGCTTTTGATGTGATTGTTGCATTTTAATATACCTTCTGTATCCTGTACTTAAAAAAGAGATACTTTCAGCTGGCTAAATACAAAGGACATGCATGTTTATTTTCAAGGGGGTTAACAATTTTCCACAGTGCCGTTGGAAACTCGCTGGATTTTTCAAGAGCTAATAAGACATCCGATCATTTTCCAGTTAAACAGCTATGTACTCGCTCTTTTCCTACCAATTATGATCTTCACTGAGGAGCAAAATTAGATCTAAAGTAGTGTTTTCCAAAGATCCAAAATACAGTAGAAACATACACATACCTGCATCTCATTAGTGAAGACAAATGCTTGTGCAGTTGAGCAGTTGCAGACACGTGATTGCTGGCTGCTTATTCACATACCAGTGTGACACATGGAAATATGACAGAAAACACGTGTTTTCATGTTTGCCTGTACTTTCGACACAACGAAGGAGAGAATTTAGCGGCTGAGTAACGGCTTGGAGCTCTGGTAAGACACATCAGTGGTTAGTGGTGACAGTCGTGGTGTGGAAATAGAATCACGGACTGGTTTGGGTTGGAAGGGACCTTAAAGACTATCCAGTTCCAACCCCCCTGCCATCGGCAGGGACACCTTCCACTAGACCAGGTTACTCAAAGCCTCATCCAGCCTGGCCTTGAAGACATCCAGGGATGGGGCATCCACAGCTTCTCTGGGCAACCTGTTCCAGTGCCTCACCACCCTCTCTGTGAAGAACTTCTTCCTGATACCTAATCTAAACCTCCCTCCTTTCAATTTAAACCCCTTACCCCTTGTCCTGTCACTCCAGGCCCTTGTAAAAAGTCCCCCCCAGCTTCCTTGTAGCCCCTTCAGGTACTGGAAGGTGCTATAAAGTCTCCCCGGAGCCTTCTCTTCTCCAGGCTGAACAAGCCCAACTCCCTCAGCCTGTCCCCATAGCAGAGGTGCTCCAGCCCTCTGATCATCTTCGAGGCCTCCTCTGGACTCGCTCCAAGTGGTCAATATCCTTCTGATGCTGAGGGCTCCACAGCTGGATGCAGCACTCCAGGTGGGGTCTCACCAGAGCAGAGCAGAGGGGGAGAATCCCCTCCCTTGACCTGCTGGCCACACTTCTCCTGATGCTGGCTGTGGTAATGCAGAACAGCCATTTCCCATAGTTACCACACTGAATGTGAGAGCAAGTGTGCTATTTCTTGGCTGGTTTAGGAGTTAGAGGCTTTGTGTGCTTCCTCTCGTGCACACTCCTACATGCGTGTATGCAGACCCACCTTTTATGCATAGTGTATCTATAGAAATCCTTTAAACTGGGCCACAGGGTCTTTCCCACCATCCAAAGAGAGAATTCTCAATCCCTGCGCAGAAGGTACATGTTATATGGTGTACGGCACCGCCTAGCAGGAGCCAGGGTATTTTGGCTCCGCTGTGTATAAATTAAAGGGTAGGAGGCCTCAGTCTTGCGACGCCTCCGCCTCCCCGCACACGCTGCCGTCGCTGGCTGTAGAACCTAACCAGTGCTCAGCCTTCCCTCTAATGCTTGCGGTGCTGCTGCACGCATCCGGACAAAAGCCTGTGAGGATGCAAACTTCCACCACTGCAGCGTTCAGTCTTTCCATCAGCTCCGGGTCAGGCTGACGCAGCTCCCCCCTCAGAGCCTTTCCCATCCCTGCTCTTCTCTCCTGGCATGCTGGTTTCCAGTAGGGCAGTACAGCACTGAGGCTTTACTGGAAGTAAAGCCTTTCCAGCCCACCTACAGCTGAACAACAGGGAAAGGGAACCCACAAGATGGAGCAGTGCTTCCAAGTAGGATCCAAACCCCAGTCTCACCGGGAGAAGGAGCTAGGAACTGATGCCAGAGCTACTGTTTCGCCATAAAACTTAGAAGAAGCGGGAAAAGGGAAGAGTTCCATCAGGAAATTTCCAGAACAATGAGTACCACACCTAACAGTGTTACCAAAGAAAATGCACGTCATCTTTTTTTTTAAAAATAAAGAGCAAAACCCAACCAGCAAATTTCAGTGGAAAATCCATGATTCTCTAAAGTGAAATAACTAATTTTCTTTTTTCTTCTTGGCAGCGTGTATGAGATCAATTGAACCTTTCTGAGCTGCTGTAGCGGTCACGGTGTGTTTTCAAAAATAGGTATTCTCAAATGTTAGAATCAACATGGATTCCAGCAGATCGGGGAGTACGGCAGAGCTCTGTGAACACGGACTCGCCCTTCTCCCCTTCTGATTTGCAAGCTGTATAGAAATGCTAGTGTGTTACAGTTAATTAAAAAGATGCTTGAATTGATTTTTTGTTGGAATCTTACTGGTTTTAGCCTACAACCAGCATCCTTGCTTAGCTGAGAATCCTGAGAAATTAAGGGACTGTTCTTTCAGGAGGTCAAGCCGTGTTTACTCAAGCAGGCTGATGAAAAAGGAAATGTCTGAATTGCTCTCTCAGTAGCACTTTAAACTACCAAAGGATTTGTAAACATCCAGAATACTGATTTCATTTGTGCTTGGAAAGCACGTTTTCTCACTTGGCTTCTTGAAAGCAGGCCCTGAAGTTCAGGAAAATCCAAGCGTTCGTTTCAAAGACTAAACGTGAGGCGTGTGTGTTTTTTTTTTTCTCTGTCCAGTTTGTTTTCCTCACCTACGTGCTCGGAGTGGCCTGGCTTGGGGTCTTTGGCTTCTCTGCTGTGCCTGTCTTCATGTTCTATAACATATGGTCGACTTGTGAAGTCATCAAATCTCTTCAGACAAATGTGACAGTTCCGGGGGACCAGATCTGCGTGGATATCAGGCAATACGGTACTTATTTTAATCCTGATTAAATGCTTTATCCTTTCTCCTTGGCCCGTCTTCGGGAGTTTTGTCTCGGCCTGATCAAATGAACCAAATGCAAAAGCATCTCCTACCTCTGAATGTGCTATTACTTTTCTAATTAATTCAGATTACACTGATCTCTTTCCAGATGCAATCAATTCAACTGAACTGGCAAGTCATTTATCTAAAATGATTTTGTAGCGGTTTCCAATACTATAATATTAGGTTTAAAAATAGATCAGCCTCAAAATAAACTGCTCAGAAGCAGCACAGAGAACTAGATAACCAGATTCTTGTTTCTGAACCCATATGCCTATGTTCTTTCCCTTCAAAAGCTGTTTTTACATTTAAGGACTACGTTTAAGTAGCTCACTCCCTAAGGTGAGTTTTCCTGAAGCTGGTCTTTTCAGCTTCCCTCGTGCAGAGGTGCTTTAGTCACCGTTACTTCTGGCCTTGTTTTAGCTAATGCTTTCTAGGAGTGTTTCTTTCTTTGGACTAAGTCCGAGCTGAGAGAAGGGATTCAGAGTTGAAAAAGTAAGAAAGCTTGGGTTTGCTTTCCTATCCGAGCGGTAAGTCCTGTAGGAGAAGGTAAGACACCCCGATTTCAGAAGCACAGAGTCCCAAAGTGGTTAAATGTTTGCATCCTGTTCTAGCAACTGGAGCCAAGAGGCTGGGAAGATGTTTCCTTCAGCGGCAAGGCCTGGGAGGGCAGGGAGGTGATGCGCTCCTCCGCCTTCCTGCCTCTCTCGGTCGAGCGCCGTCTGGGGCTGGGCTGTTCCTCTGGCGGCTGAAATCCTGCGGGTTTCAATGAGTGACGGGAGGGAGCGACTCCTGAGCAGGCAGCTCAACCTTCCTCACACCTTTGGGTGGCAGCGGTAGCTAAAAGCCTTCAAGTGTGCATTGCAGAGGCAGAGAAACAGCTGGCTTAAACGTAAATCCTATAGAGCCTTCTTGAAAGCCATACCCTCCCGAGGTGATTTCAATGACCTGCCCCTTGCAGAGTCCCTGATTCCAACCAGCTGAGTTCTGCGGGGGAGAAGCCAAACTGGTTTTCTCCCCTTTCAAATGGCTTTTGCTTAAGCTTTACATCTGTTAGAGACCTAGAAGTTGAGGTTATTTCAAATTTGCTAGATCCTGATGACCTTTCAGATTTTCAGTCGTGCAGTTGGGAGTAGGTGAGGCGCAGCAGACGGAATGTCCTTGTAGCGGCTTTCAGGTAATGCTTTTTACCTGTTGGAACTAAACCAGAAAAAGTGCTGTAACTCTTCCCTCTAGCTCCGTATTCCCGCTCACGTACAGTAACTCCTTGTTTGAGCAGGGCTTAACCTAGTAAGGGCTGTCCTGGAAGGTGCCAAGTGCCCCCGAGATGTAGATTATCCCTTCCCGTGCGGCTTGGGGGGAGTAGGCAGTATGCGACCGGACCCGAAGTGCAAAATCCCAACCAACCATTTGGCTGCCATATGGGAAAACCACATCTGAGAACATGTCTTGGCAGCCAGCCTCCCCTCCCGGTGTAAGGAGACGGCACAACTTGAGGGAGTTGCCGGAATTCCTCCTTCCGCTCGACGTGTGGCTGACCGGAACGGGAACACAACCGGCAAGTGGGCGGAAGAGCTGAGAGAGGAACACGAAGCGTGCAGGGATTGCTGAAATTGGTGGTTTCTTTTTGCTGTGGTGTTTCAGGTATTATCCCTTGGAATGCTGTACCTGGCAAAGCCTGCGGGCCGATTTTAGAGAACATCTGCAACACGAACGAGGTACAGACACACAACCTGCGCGCGGGCGGCTGTTGCCTCCGAGTCGCCGGGGCGCCGCGTAGTAAATAACTTGATGAAAGCTTCTGGGGAGAACCGATACCACCGGTATGAAGAGATGGATTTAAACACAGCGCTGAAATTGTTCTGTGTTAGGTCGTCCAGGAAATGAAAATTATTTCAGGTTTTGAATACCTTGCTACGGACAGGGTTTTGTTATCCTTGTTCTCTAGAACAGCTGAAATGCGTTTCTACCGTCCTCAGTTGCTCCAGTGTTTTTTAATGTGGTTTGTCTTTTTTTCCTCCCCCCCCCCCTCTAGTTCTACATGTCTTACCACCTGTTCATTGTGGCTTGTGCCGGAGCTGGTGCCACGGTCATCGCATTGGTGGGTAGCACTTCTTCTTGTTCCGCTGCGTAACGCGTTCCTTTCAGGCTGAAGATGCTCTGAGATTTGGGGTGTCTCGCAAACAGTGACACTAGATGTCAAGGGGGATGAGCTGTAATCGCCGTTATTCGCTGCTCTGGTTCGGTCATTACAGGTCAGCAGGTCCCCAGCTTCTGCTTTACGGGGTCATCTTAACCCGCCTCCCCCTTCTTTAGAAGAAAAAGTCCTTGCATGTCCTTTCGAAGATCCCACGTCTGCCCACTATTTCTGCTTGTGTCCACTGCTTCTTTTCATTTTTGTGGTTTTTCTGATCACTTGCTTGTAACCTCCTGGGTTTTTGTGTCGGGACCCGGGCAGTTGGATTGCTCCAACCCTGCAGTGCCAGTTACAGGTAGCAGTTGGAAAAAGGGAGGCTAACGAGACGCCTTGCTCCGTATGCCTTAACGCTTCCTCTAGCTGCCAGCGTCTAACCTCACGTCAGCCAGATCCAGGCGTAACACCCGCCGTTTGCTGGCCACATTAGCCACAGGTCCATACGTAGGTCATCCCCTCCGGCTCGACGCCAGGTTACGCGTGTCCCGCACCTTCGCCCCGGGAGAAGTTCGGGGTAACGTCTGTTGTAGAAGTATCGACAGTTGCCCGAGAGGGCTTGAGCCGTCGTCACCTCGTTGTGTCTTACTCTCCTGTATTTTGTTCTCTTCCACCAGCTGATCTACATGATGGCTACCACATATAACTATGCTGTTTTGAAGTTTAAGAGTCGGGAAGATTGCTGCACTAAATTCTAAATTGTATAAGCCCAGTAACGAGCTGCATTGCGTAGCTTGAGATACCACTGACACCCTAGGCTACAAGTCTAGCTTTGAGTTTTGCCACAGTAATTGTAAATAGCTTCAGCGAGCATCACTTAGCTTCTCGGATCGATAACGCGACTTCTTGTACATGAACGGTGACGGGGATGAGATCTGGCTATTCGTCCGTGTCGAGAGGACTCAGTTACTGTAGGGGCGTTTACCCATCCTCCCTCCGAAGATGGGATGGTCCCATTTCAAGTCGCCGTTTGCTTCCGAACAGCCGTCTCCAAAACAAATACTGGAACAGTTATGGGCCGGGATGATCAATGCGTTCTTCATCCCGAACGCCAAATACACCCCCGCCCCCCGGCTCGCAAAATATGTATGATGCGGAAGAAAGGTGACGGGAGAGCGGTGCCAGTCTCTGGGCAGAAACCAGAAGCCCGGGTACAACGAGTTAGTTGGCCGGTATTTCCCGCGATAAAGACGATTCCATTCTCTCACTTCGTTTTTAAGTAACCGCCGCACCAGGCTGGCGCCAGAAGGAGACACGTCCTTGCGTTAGCTCTGCGTAAAACAATCGCGCTCCTTCTTCTGGACCCCGAGCTAGTCAGGAAGAGCGCGTGAGCAGCTGCTCTCCTTGTACGGCGCGCACTTCAGTAACTGATTCCTCGGTAGCCAGATCTCAGACCCGGAAGTACGACTGCACGGGAAGCAAAACCATGGGTAGACCACAGTGACCTTCTTAACGCTGTTGGGATTTGGAAAAAAAACAACGTAGTGAATTGGTGTTTTCAGATGTAGATTTTTTGCTTGGCGTACGGTGAAAAGGAGTTGGGAAGAGATGAATGCACAAACTAGAAAAAAATCCACACGATAATAATAATGATTAAAAGGAAGGAAAAGCGGCAGTTGCTATGCCTGATTTAAAACCCTTCACCTGAGGTCGGACAATGCAAGTGTAAAACGTAGTTGTAAAAATACACGATCGAGATTTCTCAACCCGGAGGTTGCATGCTTCTGCTCAGTTCTGGACTCGTGTTTTGTTGTTTAATCTTTCAAGATGTCGATGTGGCCTCCTTCGCAAAAATAAATCTGTTTACAGTTTCAGGCTTTTTCCAGGGGGAGGGGTGGAATTCTCCTCTGCTTGTTGGGAGAAAAGCCTTGCCAGGATCTGGGCTGGGATGCGCAGAACCACCACCACCTTAGGAAGCGGTTCTTCTGAGCACCTCGTAGTTTACACATCGCCCCGTACTGCCTCGCGCAGATCTCTTATTCTGCTGTCCCCCCTGCCCCCCATTCTGCACTGTAACCGATCCGTACAACTCCGTAGCTCGTTTTTATTCCTGTTGTACTAACGTCCTCTGAAGTGTGAATAACCAACTGAAATATTAGCATGCCAAAGTCTAGAGACCTTCGAAAATAGCCTCTGTGCTTGTTTTAACAACAGAATGCTTATTAATGTAGAATAACCTCTTTTTGTTTGTTTGTTTTTTTGGTCGTTATATTCAAGAGCGTCTATTAATCTGACTAGCAGCTTGCTTTGCCTCTTGCCATGCTCACTAGCCATCATGCTCACCCTTCTCTTCCAGATCCACTTCCTCATGATACTGTCTTCTAACTGGGCCTACTTAAAGGATGCCAGCAAAATGCAGGCCTACCAGGATATCAAAGCAAAAGAAGAGCAGGAGCTTCAGGATATCCAGTCTCGGTCAAAAGAGCAACTCAATTCTTACACATAAGTGTTTGCCACAGTCACGCAGCAGAAGAGTGCTGTAGCTCTGACAAATCGACAAACAGCTGCTCTGCAGTACAGATGTGTGTCTACCAAACAAAATTAGAGAGAAGTGCAAAAGCTTCACATTCCAGCTCCTGGAACACATGTATAGGGAACCCTTCCTGTGGGTAACCTGCCATCCTTTCACACAGAGAATGGAATGGGTTTATTCCAGGCATTTTAAAAGGCAACACTTCACAACAAGCGACCAAATTCTTACTCCTCGAGACTCTCGGCACTCAGCGTTTGACGGGTTGCAGAGCGTGAGGCCTCGCACCGAGCCGTGGCGGCTGCTGCGGGCCGCAGGTCTTGGTGCAGGCCCTGGGCCTCAGTGCAGGCCCCGGGCCAAGGCCCGCCTTCGCCGCGTGGTTCGGCGTCACGTGGTGCTGAGGCCGGGTGATGTTCCGACGGGGCGGCACTGTCACAGCGGCCTGGAGGTTGCAACAGGGCCGCCTTCGAGCCCTCTTTCCCCGGCCCCGGGAACAGCACTCGGCTTCGGTGCCATACTTACTTACGGTGAAGCAGTCGTGTGCCCGTCCTTACATGAGTGCCGAGCACATGTCCCAGGTTTTACTCTTTTTAACCACTACTTAATGGAATGTAGATCCCCAGATCTGGATAATGATCCCCTTCCTTGAAAATAAATGTCAGCTTTGCCTTAATATTTATTTTCTATAAATGTCTTAGCATTTATATGGCGGCGGGAGACCATTATCCTACGTTTTAAGCGAGTGAAAAGTGTTACCTTATTAAAATGACACCGATCCAACTATTCCAAACGAGCGGATGAGACAGTCTGCGGAGTTTTAATGCCAACAGTAACAATTCCAGCCATAAAACAGAATACGGGATGTCCACCTTTCTCTATCTTGGTGCTTAGCACATTTATAGTCAGTGCTTATGTGTTTTCCTTTCTACAAATTAATTAGCACGTGAAGAAAACGTGGTGTTCAGAGACAAAGCGACAAACTGGTGCCATTTTCCCATAGCAGTCTGCCTTCTAATTAATGGTTTTTTTCAGAAGCATTCAGTGATA